ACTTTACACCAAAGTTTAAACACTCTCCTACATCACCAAATTTAGAAATAACAGAGATACCATTTATCACATATGGGTATCAAACTGAAGCATGAAGTGATGAAGGAGAGATGCTATAAATCCAGACTGCTTACGGTTCAACAGGCAGGGGTTCTTTGGCAGCCTCTGCTAGCTCCTTCTGCAGCCTGGCTTGTCGTCTCCTAAGAAAAAGAAAGCAAGGATACTTAAAAATATCAAAATTTCCTTATTCCCATTCCAAAGGTTACCCCATTCAGTTGTGATGGGCTTTATAAGAGCTAAAAAAAAAAAAAGTGAGACCACTGCCCTAATTTTATCCTGCATTTGAAGATACTCAGTGCAGGAGGGGGAGTTTTCTTGTTGTGAGTTGCAAAGGAGAAGATCAACCTAGAGAGGCAGTAAATGAAGCGCACCTATGGCTCTTTATGGTCCACATGATTGGGGTTTGCTCAGACTACAAGATCTTGCAAAAATATTGTTAGATGAGTTAGTAAAAATAATAGAAAAATGCCAAGTATGACAAGACTGGTATTACAGCTCTTAGTCTCCAAGTATTGCTATCTTGCAAAGAAGCCAAAGCAATTTGGAATAAGAAAAATTATTGTTTTGCAAGGAAAAAAAAATACAAACTTATTTTTGAAAGTTAGACATAACTCAGTCTCATGGCAGCTACTCTTTTTAGCAGAGTGCAAGAAACACTCTGGTTAAGTAAAAAAGAATAAAATTAGGAGAAGTATCAACATATGAACAAGAGAAGCCCAAACCTAATATCAGCAAAAAACTGCAGTTTCTATCTGATTTATGATCTTCAAGCCACAGTTAAACATTGCTCAAGAAACAAAACCTGTTTTATTCATTTAAAAGAGAAGAATGTTTTCACAAACCATCTGCCTGTGTTGGCCAGAAAAAGGAACACAAAGTTCTACCGTGCAAGAAGACAGAAATCATAGATCAAAACTAAATCTGCTTTTATCCTATGCACTCACCAAATGTATTCCAAAATATACTGGGAAGTAGTTTTATCAAATAGAGGTCATCAACCTCACCTTGAATCCTTTTCATTTTCTGCATTCAGACGATTGGCTTCTTGTGCTTTCTCTGCCATCCAACGCGAAACCAGCTCCTGGTTGTCTTCAGTAGTTTTCCTTAGTTTCTCCTCCAAGGCATTGAAGGTGATCTGGAGAGCATCATATTCATCTTTCAGTGTCTGATTAGCTCGCTCAAGATCTTGCAGTTTGCTACGCAATTCCTGGCACTCTGTTTCCAGTTCAGATATCTTTTGCAAATACTCTGCAATCCTGGAATGACAATAAAATACACAAAACAATGAGAACCTCCTTCGGGACTTAAACCATCTTCTTTGTGCTATTTGTATAATGTCTAACAAAGCAATTTTTAGCCTGTGGCTAGGACTCCTAGAGAGTAAAACAACATTAATAACTCAGCCAGAAGTCTGGGTCTCAGACCAACTACATAGATATAACAATTTTTTTGCAAACAGTGCTACTCACTTTGCTTCATTCATCTGCATCTCTTTGTCCTTCTGCTGCATTTGGTTATTCAGATCAATTACAGACTGGGCCAACTAGGGAGAGAAAATTCTGTTACAAAATCACAGAATCATAGAATTACCAAAGTTGGAAAAGACCTTTAAGATCAAGTCCAGACAGAGAGCAGGAACCAGCAAGAGTACAGACCAGTCTAACATAACAAGCATGAAGCTTACCTTCCAGGTGTTCTTTCACAGCTTTCTAGTACAGATCTGTTTATTGCCCCTACCACATGGATCACTAAATCATGGAATTCACCTTCAGAAATGAGTTGTGAAAAAGTTACTGTCCACTGATAGCTCACTTCCTTCCCTCAAAGTTTCCTTATTAAAGTAACATAAATCAGAATGCAATGTAGGAAGAAATTTTGGTGGAAAAAAATAAAACCAATACAGGGTTTAAAAATTGCCAAGTAAGTAAACAAGTGAGTAATAACAACCAAGCAACAAGTCTTCCTCTTCACAGAATGTTAGGGGTTGGAAAGGACCTCTGGAGGCCATCAAGTCCAACACCCCTGCAAGAACAGGATCAAATCTAGGGCAGGTCACTCAGAAATGCATCCAGACAGGTCTTGAAAGTCTCCACAGAAGGAGACTTCACAACCTCTCTGGGCAGCGTGTCCCAGGGCTCTGTAACTCTCACAGGAAAGAAGTTCTTCCTCATGTTGAATCAATTTTTAATCCATTTTTAATCCAATTTGAATCCATTGCCCCCAGCCTATCATAAGGCAAAGTGACAAGAGGTTGTCCCTGCATTTTTGACCCCAGTGCTCATGTATTGATAGACATTAACTAAATCCCCCCTTAGTCTTCTCCTCTCCAGACTAAACAGCCCCAATCATAGAATTACCAAAGTTGGAAAAGACCTTTAAGATCAAGTCCAGACAGAGAGCAGGAACCAGCAAGAGTACAGACCAGTCTAACATAACAAGCATGAAGCTTACCTTCCAGGTGTTCTTTCACAGCTTTCTAGTACAGATCTGTTTATTGCCCCTACCACATGGATCACTAAATCATGGAATTCACCTTCAGAAATGAGTTGTGAAAAAGTTACTGTCCACTGATAGCTCACTTCCTTCCCTCAAAGTTTCCTTATTAAAGTAACATAAATCAGAATGCAATGTAGGAAGAAATTTTGTTTTTTAAAGTAGTGGAAAAAAATAAAACCAATACAGGGTTTAAAAATTGCCAAGTAAGTAAACAAGTGAGTAATAACAACCAAGCAACAAGTCTTCCTCTTCACAGAATGTTAGGGGTTGGAAAGGACCTCTGGAGGCCATCAAGTCCAACACCCCTGCAAGAACAGGATCAAATCTAGGGCAGGTCACTCAGAAATGCATCCAGACAGGTCTTGAAAGTCTCCACAGAAGGAGACTTCACAACCTCTCTGGGCAGCGTGTCCCAGGGCTCTGTAACTCTCACAGGAAAGAAGTTCTTCCTCATGTTGAATCAATTTTTAATCCATTTTTAATCCAATTTGAATCCATTGCCCCCAGCCTATCATAAGGCAAAGTGACAAGAGGTTGTCCCTGCATTTTTGACCCCAGTGCTCATGTATTGATAGACATTAACTAAATCCCCCCTTAGTCTTCTCCTCTCCAGACTAAACAGCCCCAGGTCTCTCAGCCTTTCCTCATAGGCAGGTGGTTCCAGTTCCTTAATCATCTGTGTAACCTCTGTTGGACTCTCAAGTAGACCCCTGTCCCTCATGAACTGAGGAGACCAGAACTGGACGCAATACGTCAGGTGGGGTCTCAGTTGCTGGTGGAATCTCTTTAGTGCAAAGGAACCAGAAGGGCAGAGGCCAGCACTGAGCTGCTGCTGCCAGCCCACAGCCAGCAGTCAGGGCTGTGCAGCAGCAAGCCTTGCAGCACACACAGCCTGGGCCACCCAAGGAGGAAGACTGAAAGGTGCTTGCCTGGGCAGGTGGCTGAGGATACCATGCTGAGGGGAAATACAGAATTTTCAGTGCTTTGATTAGCAAGTGCACAACACTTCTAGAAAACTCAGAATTACTGACACTGGGGCTTCTCTGTTACTCCAGTGAGGTGTGATCAAAGGAACATGATCACTTTTTCCAGGTCACTCCCACCTTCTCTCTACAAAAGTCCACAGTGTCATTCAGGTACCACCTTCTAGATTAATTCAATGCACTGCTGTTGTTTTTAAGAACTCAGTTCAGCCAAAGAAGCATCCACATCTTAAAAAAGATAGCAGCTTTTCCTCTCTTCCAGGCCCAAGCCTCATAGCTTAAAGGACAGAATAAACACCATTAACAGGAGAAGCTTAAAAAGGTTGTACATGAAATGAGGAAAAACTATGACGAATCAGCTGGGTATAATTAAGGTCATTTTCACAAAGGGCCCCATATGGAACACAAGAGGACTTCCTGACCTCGCCACGTTTTTTATGCAGCTCTGTCAGCTCCTCTTGGTGCTTTATCTTTAGCTGTGCCAGTTCCTGCAGCTGAGCATCGTTCCATGTGCCATCATGTCCTGGACTGGAGTTTGAGAGAGAAAGAAGAGATGTCACAAACTAGAATCCAATGGCTCCTATGCCTTTGGCCAGTTAGTCCTCTCAGGACACACTCCCTTGGATTTTCTATAGATACACAAGTCATTCAACAAACTAAACCACAGCCAGCTCCTCCACAACATGCTTCTCAACAACCAAAATGCCATTATATTGCACTGCAAAGTTAAATTTACTGAAGACTTGATTCACCTCAAATTTGTTTTGGAGGGATCTGGTAGACTTTGACGATGCTAGACATCTGGAGACAGCATAATACAGGGCACAGAACCAAAAGTCAGGGGATACTCCCAGGTGCTTGGATTCAGCCCCAGGTGTTACAAGTCATTTCTCCATCATCCCAACTATGTTCATGCTTGATGGTGTAAAGGCTTTGGGGTGTTTTTTAATTATGCTTTACAACACACAGTGGAATGTGACATAATCTGGAACTTCTACACACCAGAAGAACACACATATCCCCTCCCAAACAACTATGATGGTAACATTTATCACTCATGTATTTGAAAGCACCGAAACAGAAACAGAAGTCAGCTTTTAAAAATTGCATATATACATCACACACAGATTTTGAGCAAACAATATGTTATATATATATATTATACACTACAGCTTTAAAAATAATAAACTTCATCACTATTCTGCAGAACAAGGTAACTGCAAGTATCTGTTTCTGCAAGTCACTCTGCGTTACGACAGCCTGGTGGGAAACAGAAAATGCATTCAGAAGCTGAACAGTCTCACAGTGAAATCAGTAACTTCATGCTCTTCTCAGAATAACAAACACATGAACAAACAACAGGTCACTGAACCAACGCTCGTTGGTTTGCATTTCCAAAAAATTGTGTCCAAATGGATAGGAAGCCAAGTACTGTGGTAATATCCAGCACATCTTATAACTCTGACCATGCAGAGATCTATAGCCAGAACTAGATACTCCTTAGATACCTTGGCCTTAAGGTAAATGAAAGCATTTTTCCTAAGCTATTTAGGATTAGGGAATTCATTCTGTTTCAAAAAACTGTCATTTACTGAGGGCAGTATCAGAGTTCAGTTAGTATTTACTTTGAAGAAGCCATTTCTGTGCATTTCTTCTCATCTACTCCAGCCTCATCCCTCAGAACAGTGTTCAGCCTGAATCAGATTCACACAAACTGAAAGTGGTTCAAGACAACTGCCATGATCAGAAAGCTTCTGAGAATTGTCACACGCTGACATTTTGCCTGCAATTACTGTAAAATTACAAGTTCTCCTTTCCATTCTAGTAATAGCACACAATAAACTATATTTGTTTGATAATCCAAAGAGACACACACACAGTTTTGCGTTACATAGCAAACAGAGCTTCAACAGAGGAAACAATTCCTACAGAAGCAGAACACTCTGAGCTACTCAGCCCTGCCTTTTCTTCAGATACACCATGAGCAGAACCCAACAGCCTGTACCTGCCAGAATTTACATGCTGTTCAAAGGACACACCGGTAGTATATGGGTTTCCTGTGGATTCAAATGCCAACAGAAGAAGCAGCACAATCCCTCCTTGTAGCACTATGGTGCCATTCCCAAGTTAGAGAGGAAGCTTCCTGAAAAAACCCCTGCTAAAAGCAGGCAGAAGACATTATTTTTCGCATATAGTGTGTATTTAGGTGTGACACTTCACTATCATAGTTTTCTCCATTCTATGTGGTAACACAGATTGAAAGACACCATGGCATGGGTCATTCCCTGTGCTGCAACACTTGCAAGGTTGGACAATTTCAAGTCAGATCATAATCCTTAGGAATTAACATCAGGCAAAACATTAGAAGCAAGGAAAACAGAAGCAGAAGCTCATTCTGGTCCACCTCAATACCTTGAGTTTGTGATAAATTCTTTCTGTTTAAAACTTGGTCGGATCTTTCTGAACCGTGTGTATTGTAAATGTTCTGTTACTTTCTCCCATGTTTAAAGTTAGTTATAACTTATTTTTAGTTCAAATTTCCCCATTTGTTTTATTCCAAGTTACTGTAGCAACCTAGCTTTTTGTGTAATGCATCAAACAATGATTTAGGTTACAGTCTGCATGACAGAGAGGTGACTGACAGAAAAGGAATTTTAAATACCTGATCTCATGTCTGCTCTGCATGTCATATTTTTCTGCTTGAAGCTTATCAGCCAGCACTGCATGAAGGTCTGACTTCTCCAGTAGTTTATTATCTGAAAGGGCAAAAACTGCAACTGAGAACCAAAAAGCAAAACCAGATTCCCACCCTCTTCTGCCAGCTAAGATCTAGCATCTTCAATTACTCTGACTCAATCAAACACTATGTAAGCCTCCACCACATTAGTGTGCACTCCTCTCTGATGTCAGCAGGTTAAGGCAGTGCTTAGCTACAACTCCAAGAATTCCCTATTAATCCAGATGCTGTGTGGGACTGGTCTTGTAAATAGACAATAGAAAGACTGCTCAAATGTACTGGTACCTACTAAAACAGGAGTTCAAAGTCCAACCTCTTTATAGCCCCTCAACTGATAGCAAGATGGAGAGCAGGTCTGCCAGCAGCCTGCCCTGCGTGCTCTGCTGTCCCTGCCCAGACGCCGGCACCGCAGCCTGCAAGCCGGGCCCTGCTGGCGACAGGACGAGCTGGACAGACACCGCTGGCCTCTGAACACCTCCACATCTTACAAAAGACCGTGAACGTGGCCAACAGCCCGATTGCTCTGCCTTCCACAAACATCTGAGCGGGAACTGTGCAGACGGTTTAGACATTCGATCACTGTCCACAGCACAAACACCTGGGCGGGAACCGAGAGAAACAAGCACTGCTTTTCCTCAGTAACGCCGAAACCCCAGCTCTTCTCAGCCCCAGTTCCTTACAAAGGACCCGCGCGGGCCCCTTCCCACCCGCGCTCCTCCCGGCCGGCGGGGAAGGGCCCC